GCAGCAAAAGCTCACTTTCAACATGACTGTCACACACATCACTATGTTTAGAGTACCCTTATCACCAATATGCCAGCTCGTGCAAGCCAATCAATACCCTGCTGCCGTGGTGCATTGTCTCCAGACAAGATTGCCTTCCACCTGGTATGAATGTCTATGATTAGATTCACTCCTTTCATAAATCAACCTTTAACAAGTAGACCTGCCAATAAAACTATATTTCAAACACTGCATACTGCATGACTAAGGCCTCACTCAGAGTGATTATTCCCCTAAATTGGCTTGCTGTCATTCAACCCAGTGTGACACATGCTAAGGAAGATCTGGCCATTTGCAGCAGCATGACAAAATAACAAGCAAGGCTTTGTCTCCTCCGAGTGAATCACAACTGCTCAACTGCTCAACTGCTATGGCTTATCAGTGCTATGATGTTCAGATGAAGACAGCATTTGACTGACTCACACTCATACTAAACACCCAACTATATTCTTTCATGCTCTGAGAAGGTTCAGCAAATTAATACATGAAGATGAAGTTTCAAAATACAGTGACATTCTGAATGAAATTCCTGTGTGGGTGAATTCAGTTCCCTGCAATGTGATTCGTTGTGATCAACATGTATCACAGGTCAGCTCATTCAGCAATGACCACAGCATTTGTAGCTGCATATTGGCTGTCAGTGACACTTCAGCAACACTAGAGCTTGCAAGGAAGCTTGCACCATGGCAACATGAAGTCTGCACCATGTGTGTGGCAATAGGATTTTTTGGTTTGATTTGTTGTTTTACGCAGCATTCAGAAATATTCCAGTTATGACGGCGGTCTGTAAATAATCAAGTCTGGACCCAACAATCCAGTGATTGACATCATGAGTATTGATCCTCGCAATTGGGATGTGGCAATAGGAAGCCTACACCATGGCAACATGAAGCCTGCAACGTGTGTGGCAACAGGAAGCCTGCACCACTTGTGTGGCAACAGGAAGCCTACACCATGGCAACAGGAAGCCTGCACCACTTGTATGGGAACAGGAAGCCTGTACCACTTGTGTGGCAACAGGAAGCCTGCACCACTTGTATGGCAACAGGAAGCCTGCACCACTTGTATGGCAACAGGAAGCCTACACCATGGCAACAGGAAGCCTGCACCACTTGTATGGCAACAGGAAGCCTGCACCACTTGTATGGGAACAGGAAGCCTGCACCACTTGTGTGGCAACAGGAAGCCTGCACCACTTGTGTGGCAACAGGAAGCCTGCACCACTTGTGTGGCAACAGGAAGCCTGCACCACTTGTATGGCAACAGGAAGCCTGCACCACTTGTGTGGCAACAGGAAGCCTGCACCACTTGTGTGACAACAGGAAGCCTGCACCACTTGTATGGCAACAGGAAGCCTGCACCACTTGTATGGGAACAGGAAGCCTGCATCACTTGTGTGGCAACAGGAAGCCTGCACCACTTGTATGGCAACAGGAAGCCTGCACCACTTGTATGGCAACAGGAAGCCTACACCATGGCAACAGGAAACCTGCACCACTTGTATGGCAACAGGAAGCCTGCACCACTTGTATGGGAACAGGAAGCCTGCACCACTTGTGTGGCAACAGGAAGCCTGCACCACTTGTGTGGCAACAGGGAGCCTGCACCACTTGTGTGGCAACAGGAAGCCTGCACCACTTGTATGGCAACAGGAAGCCTGCACCACTTGTATGGCAACAGGAAGCCTACACCATGGCAACAGGAAGCCTGCACCACTTGTATGGCAACAGGAAGCCTGCACCACTTGTGTGGCAACAGGAAGCCTGCACCACTTGTGTGACAACAGGAAGCCTGCACCACTTGTATGGCAACAGGAAGCCTGCACCACTTGTATGGCAACAGGAAGCCTGCACCACTTGTGTGACAACAGGAAGCCTGCACCACTTGTATGGCAACAGGAAGCCTGCACCACTTGTATGGCAACAGGAAGCCTACACCATGGCAACAGGAAGCCTGCACCACTTGTATGGCAACAGGAAGCCTACACCGTGGCAACTGGAAGCCTGCACCACTTGTATGGGAACAGGAAGCCTGCACCACTTGTGTGGCAACAGGAAGCCTGCACCACTTGTGTGGCAACAGGAAGCCTGCACCACTTGTGTGGCAACAGGAAGCCTGCACCACTTGTGTGGCAACTGGAAGCCTGCACCACTTGTGTGGCAACAGGAAGCCTGCACCACTTGTGTGGCAACAGGAAGCCTGCACCACTTGTGTGGCAACAGGAAGCCTGCACCACTTGTATGGCAACAGGAAGCCTGCACCACTTGTATGGCAACAGGAAGCCTACACCATGGCAACAGGAAGCCTGCACCACTTGTATGGCAACAGGAAGCCTGCACCACTTGTGTGGCAACAGGAAGCCTGCACCACTTGTGTGACAACAGGAAGCCTGCACCACTTGTATGGCAACAGGAAGCCTGCACCACTTGTATGGCAACAGGAAGCCTGCACCACTTGTGTGACAACAGGAAGCCTGCACCACTTGTATGGCAACAGGAAGCCTGCACCACTTGTATGGCAACAGGAAGCCTACACCATGGCAACAGGAAGCCTGCACCACTTGTATGGCAACAGGAAGCCTACACCATGGCAACAGGAAGCCTGCACCACTTGTATGGGAACAGGAAGCCTGCACCACTTGTGTGGCAACAGGAAGCCTGCACCACTTGTGTGGCAACAGGAAGCCTGCACCACTTGTGTGGCAACTGGAAGCCTGCACCACTTGTGTGGCAACAGGAAGCCTGCACCACTTGTGTGACAACAGGAAGCCTGCACCACTTGTATGGCAACAGGAAGCCTGCCAAACTTGTATGGCAACAGGAAGCCTGCCAAACTTGTATGGCAACAGAGGCCTGCACCACTTGTGTGACAACAGGAAGCCTGCACCACTTGTATGGCAACAGGAAGCCTGCACCACTTGTATGGCAACAGGAAGCCTGCACCATATGTGTGTGGCAGTTCCTAGTTGTCCTCCCACCTGCACTTGCTGACTATATGTTCAATACCTCATCAATGCTCCCCAGTCAACTCATTTACACATTTAGATCAATATTACTTCAGAAAAACCGGGCTGGTACAATACATAGGGATTCTATAACATGCTTCAATTCATTTGTACTTGATGACTTGCCAAACTCTACTTCTTATCATTCAATACAGTGTTCCTAATAAAGTGATTGGAAAAAAATAGAATACACTTGTAACTTCCTTGTTGCACAGAGGTCCCCGTCTCTCCCTTAGCCTTATGTTGTCTATACAAAGGTGGGGTACTGTCAGCATAGCCTTTCCTCAACACATGGGCACTAGAATAAGATCAAGGAACACTACCACATTGGTTATCTCAAGATGATCCAAGCAGATAGCATTTCCCCAGATGTATGGACATTTCCCCAGGTGTATGGACATTTCCCAGGATGTATGAACATTTCCCCAGGTGTATGGACATTTCCCAGGATGTATGGACAATTCCCCAGATGTATGGACAATTCCCCAGATGTATGGACAATTCCCAGGATGTATGGACAATTCCCAAGGTGTATGGACAATTCCCCAGATGTATGGACAATTCCCCAGATGTATGGACAATTCCCAGGATGTATGGACAATTCCCCAGATGTATGGACACTTCCCCAGATGTATGGACATTTCTCCAGATGTATGGACAACTCCCCAGATGTATGGACAACTCCCCAGATGTATGGACAACTCCCCAGATGTATGGACATTTCCCCCGGTGTATGGACAATTCCCAAGGTGTATGGACATTTCCCCAGGTGTATGGACATTTCCCCCGGTGTATGGACAATTCCCAAGGTGTATGGACATTTCCCCAGGTGTATGGACATTTCCCCAGGTGTATGGACATTTCCCCCGGCGTATGGACATTTCCCCAGGTGTATGGACATTTCCCCCGGCGTATGGACATTTCCCCAGGTGTATGGACATTTCCCCCGGCGTATGGACATTTCCCCAGATGTATGGACATTTCCCCTGGCGTATGGACATTTCCCCCGGTGTATGGACAAGTATGGACAATTCCCCAGATGTATGGACAATTCCCCAGATGTATGGACAATTCCCCAGATGTATGGACAATTCCCCAGATGTATGGACAATTCCCCCGGTGTATGGACATTTCCCCAGATGTATGGACATTTCCCCCGGTGTATGGACATTTCCCCCGGCGTATGGACATTTCCCCCGGTGTATGGACATTTCCCCAGATGTATGGACATTTCCCCAGATGTATGGACAATTCCCCAGATGTATGGACAATTCCCCCGGTGTATGGACATTTCCCCCGGCGTATGGACAATTCCCCAGATGTATGGACAATTCCCCAGATGTATGGACATTTCCCCCGGCGTATGGACAATTCCCCAGATGTATGGACAATTCCCCAGATGTATGGACAATTCCCCAGATGTATGGACAATTCCCCAGATGTATGGACATTTCCCAAGGTGTATGGACAATTCCCCAGATGTATGGACAATTCCCAAGGTGTATGGACATTTCCCCAGGTGTATGGACTTCCCCAGGTGTATGGACAATTCCCAGGATGTATGGACAATTCCCAGGATGTATGGACATTTCCCCCGGTGTATGGACATTTTCCCCGGTGTATGGACATTTCCCCCGGCGTATGGACATTTTCCCCGGTGTATGGACATTTCCCCCGGCGTATGGACATTTCCCCCAGTGTATGGACATTTCCCCCAGTGTATGGACATTTCCCCCAGTGTATGGACATTTCCCCAGGTGTATGGACATTTCCCCAGATGTATGGACATTTCCCCAGGTGGATGGACATTTCCCCAGATGTATGGACATTTCCCCAGGTGGATGGACATTTCCCCAGATGTATGGACAACTCCCCAGATGTATGGACACTTCCCCTAGAGGCATCGACATCGACTTTTGACAAGCACTTGTATGAAATAATGTGAAATTTTACTTACTAATGCATATTCTCTTCTCTCCATATCATTGTCGAAATTTAAAACTTCTTCTAAGTCTAACTTGCAGTTATGATCTTCTTCAGCTTCCTGAAAGAAGGAAAAGGAAAAATGTGAGAGTAATGTCATTAATTTCATTAAAATCAACAACAACCACTGAGATGTTGGTGCGCTACTGACATAAAAAATACTTTTCACCACATCCTCCAACAACTGGCCCAGACACCAACGGAGCACAAATTCAACAAGAAACCAGTGTTATTACTATCCCCACCATGGGGCACATTAGAATTTTGTTTGTTCACATAGTAGTGAATATAAACCATAAATAACAGTCATATAAAGCCTTAAGAAGAGATAGGCATTTGGGTCGGTTTCTGTCATAAAAAATATGATTAAATGTGAAATTATAACACAAAAACGGCCCCTACTCTGGAAAAAGAATTTATGGTCTTGATAAGTATCTCTTAGATGAGCTAACTTCTGTAGTTTCTGAGAAAACGTGTCCCCATTGCAGAGACCATGCACAAAGTTGAAGAGCATGGAGCAAGGGCAATAACTCTTTAAAAAAAACATTTTTTACGGCACCACTTTCGAACTCATTTAAGATCATGACAAGTAATATCAGTCTGTAAAAATTTCATTTCTCTAACAAATATTTTTCAAGAAAATGTGTCCCTTTTGAGAAGCGGACAGACGGAAGGAAGGACAGACGAACTCCCTTCCTATATCCCCAGTCCTCACTACAAGCAAAGAGAGCTGTCAAGGAAAGGACAAGATGTTTATAACCCATACTAAAGTATAACCCATACTGAACTGGTCACATCAACACGATCCAGCAGCTTGAGTACCTGTTTGACATTGTATTCCTACACACGGGAATCAGTCTGTTGTTTTATTATCAGCCATATGCCAGGGGTTTCACTTCAGCCTATAAATAATCAGGTCTGGCTCAGACAAACTAGTGACTAAAATTATGAGTAACTGCTTGAGTGTCTCCCTGTGTGAAACTCCATAGCCTACATGCTCAGCATTTGGAAGAATGATTCACTTCGTCTTTTCATTCCATTACAGGAAATACCTTTGCTAATCGATAATAACATTAGTATAGTCCACAAAGGATGATGTGACCAGCGCCAGAAGTGTGTAAAATAATAGCACCAAGGACTGTTGCTCATCAGACATTCAAAGTGAGCCGAATGACATACGCCGTGAAATCATTAGTCATCAAGTAAAGATTGTGTGGCTGTTTAATGTGATCTGATTGCAGCGAGGTTAGAATTATCAGTGTAATATTCCTAGTCCTATTTTAAGCATAGCATTCATGTATAGTATCACTGCATTTGGTAAAGCAGTCCCGGAGATATTCTTTCTTTCAATACTGTCCACAATGGTCACAGTGAATGCAGATGGTGGCACATGAAAGTAAACATTATGAGCTAGTCCAAGTTCAAGCTTTATCACTGGGTTTTCTATTTTTACTTCTCAGGAGTAATCAAAATCTAATCTTAACTGGAAAAGTGCCAGGATTAAATCGAAACCCTATTATAGTGCTACCTACCCTACAATTATATTATCAGTATTTAAGATTCCCAGACCTTGCATGTATTTAAGACTATTCTTCCAAGAATTTTCATAATTGGATTTGTATTTCATCTAAAAGAATGAAAAATTTCACATAACGAACAATTCTAAATTAGATTATTTGTTATGCAAGACACAGTGTCAGGCTCTTCCTTTCAGAGGTTTCAGAGATGATGCAGTTAATGGTCAGAGATGATGCAGTTATGGTCAGAGATGATGCAGTTATGGTCAGAGATGATGCAGTTATGGTCAAAGATGATGCAGTTATGGTCAGAGATGATGCAGTTATGGTCAGAGATGATGCAGTTAATGGTCAGAGATGATGCAGTTAATGGTCAAAGATGATGCAGTTAATGGTCAGAGATGATGCAGTTAATGGTCAGAGAGATGAGGTAAGAGGCCATCAGATGGATCATGTGAGCCGAAACAATACATGTATTCCTTGGCATCAACATACAATTTTATGAAAGAGTATCCTGTGGTTGTGATTCTGGCGAGTGCCGGAATGAGGTGGCATGATGCAAGAGCAACCATCTGTTGGGGCCATACTAGAGGCAGCTTCAGGAAGTAGAACACAATGGCTGCAGGAGTTGGTTATGTGCTGCAGACATTGTGCTATCGTCCAGACAACCAGTTCCACATGCCAAAGAGGATGTGTGTACTTGCACAATGGCTAGTAGGAAGCTAGATTTCAATTGAATGTGTTCTCAAATGAACCAGTTTCATGATGTTTAATGCCTAACCACTTTATATAATTGCATCTCAGAAACCAACATATGAAAATCTGCATGTAATAGTTGCAGCAGTACATAATACAATGTCAGGCCACATGGCCAAGCAGCCATGACTGATATAGAGTTACACTGGGAAAATGACTTACATAGAATTACACTTGGAAAATGACTTACATAGAGTTACACTGGGAAAATGACTTACATAGAGTTACACTTGGAAAATGACTTACATAGAGTTACACTGGGAGATTACTCCATCTTAACATGCTAATCAATGCCTTCCAAGCAGCAGTGAAGAAAGACACAATCCCTAGTGTCCCTAATGAGGCTGAATAAGTGATACTAATTTGGTCCAGAGTGTGTGTGCCTGACACATTTGAACAGGCCAGTTGATGCATACTGCCTGTCTACAGACTTCTATGCCTCTAAGATAAATACATACAGAAATCAAGCTGTAGTTTAAGTCACAATCCATTATCTGCGACCCAAATCGCCAGGAGTTCAATGAGTCTATTGACAGAGCAATAAGACAATTGATACTTGTTTAGTCACCCACTCATGCCCACACCTCCATCAAGTTGGTCCAGGTGTGTGTGTGTGCGTGTGTGCGTGTGTGTGTGTGTGCGTGCGTGTGCGTGCGTGTGTGTGTGCATGCGTGTGTGTGCGCTGGGGGGTGGGGGAGAGGAGGAGGGCATTTAATTTCAAGCTGTTTCTGTAAGGAGGTTCTTTATCAAACACACGTCAGCACATGCTGTTAGCTCTTAACACACGCATGCATGGAGCAATCTAATGGCTGTTAGAAATAGGTGACCCTTCTCAGAATTACAAAACCAACCTATCAAAACAAATCATGAAACTTTCAAATTAATGGTCAAGTTTTGTTGCCAGGACTGTATTTCACATGTTTCAGCTAAGACCATCATAAGAACGAAAACTGGACAATTCTGTTTTGATGCGTCATTAACATCTGTGCAATAATCATAATCAGATACCGTTATCTTCCAAACATTCACTGATGAACATTGCCAATAACATTTGTAAAATCGTATGTATGGAAAGGGCTTTGTCGCCTGTATTTTTATTTTCATCATGTTTTCATAAATTTATGTTATGTATATTTACCATGTTCTTATCTCTGTGCCATATAAGTGTTCTATATGCATGTAAGTTGTCAGTCAATTATCACAAATATGCATGTTGTCAACCCTTTATTACATACACGCATGCCCGCACGCATCACACATGAGAGTTGTCAATTATCACAGATACACACATGCACACACACACACACACACACACACACACACATTATGTATGCATACTTTAACCCCTGCATCACACACTCATGCTGTCAGCCCTCTATCACGCACACACACTCACACACGGTGATGGACAGAAGAGAGCGGAGAAGGATATACATACTTAAGCAGTAAACTGTCTCAATAGAAATGACATCCATTAGAACCCTATCCAATAGCAATACCCTTCCCAGGTGATAGATCACATTCTTCTTCAAGTGTTTGCTGGTCCAGACATTTATTCTTGGCAGGAGACCTTCCATACTTTGTGATAACTGGTTCAACTCACTTTCAATTGCTAGCAATACAATTGCTCTTTAGGGCAGGATCTAGTGAATGGCATTCCCTGAACTGCCTACAGTAGAGCTGTCTACTTTCAACACAATGGGAGCAGTGTCATTGTAGATTTACTCTTTCCTAGCACTAGTAGCAGTGCACAGGACAACATGCTGACTGACTAACAGGACTTAAGTCAAGTCTTACATATGCAACCAAAGCAGTTGTGTCAACTATTTGATTTTCCGCTAGGGTTATAATAATGATGGGATATAGCATGATATACATGTTATGTGAAAAATTAACTGTGAAATACTATTTTCTGATGATCTATACAAGAGTTATCAAGTAATTGCTAGCCTAATGATGTTGTTTAACACTGCACTCAGCAATATTCCAGCTACATGACGACGGTCGGCAAATAATCAAGTCTGAACCAGACAATACAATGATTAATAACTTTAGCTGGAAGAATATGATTTAGTGGAGTCTCAACTCCTAGTCTCTTTGTCAGCGCACATGACAAGAGTATGTAACTCACAGCGACACAACAAATCATTACAGTCCTCAAACTAAAGCCCAAGACCCCGAAAATACTACACATTATTCCATAGTTTAATGCCTATTTATAATACTCCACACTATTCCATAGTTTAATGCTTATTTATAATACTCCACACTATTCCATAGTTTAATGCCTATTTATAATACTCCACACTATTCCATAGTTTAATGCCTATTTATAATACTCCACATTATTCCATAGTTTAATGCCTATTTATAATACTCCACATTATTCAATAGTTTAATGCATATTTATATTACTCCACATTATTCAATAATTTAAAGCCTATTTATTATACCCCATGCTATCCCATAGTTTAATGCCTATCTATAATACTCCACATTATATAATAGTTTAATGCCTATTTATAATACTCTACATTATTCCATAGTTTAATGCTTATTTATAATACTCCACACTATTCCATAGTTTAATGCCTATCTATAATACTCCACATTATTCAATAGTTTAATGCCTATTTATAATACTCTACATTATTCCATAGTTTAATGCTTATTTATAATACTCTACATTATTCCATAGTTACTCCACGCTATTCCATAGTTTAATGCCTATCTATAATACTCCAAATTATTCAATAGTTTAATGCCTATTTATAATACTCAACATTAT